TCATCACCACCATCATCATCATCATCATCATCATCACCACCATCATCATCATCATCATCATCACCACCATCATCATCATCATCATCACCACCATCATCATCATCATCATCATCGTCACCATCATCATCATCATCATCATCACCACCATCATCATCATCACCATCATCATCATCATCATCATCAATAAACTAACATTTTTCTTTCCTAGCCAACTGGTCCATTCAATATCGGTGAGAATAAAGCGAGCGGGAGTAACGTTGGTCTTGTTCGAGCATTCGATGCAGACACAGGAGAAAATACAGATATCACTTTTACAATTACCGGTGAGTAATCGGCCTAATTTTTGCCAGAGACAGATTCATGGTCTCCCAGTGTAAGAACAATCCAGATGAACTAGCTTAGATCAGTGGCGAGGCTAGCCATGGCAACTGGTCATGCTATGCTGATAAACCTACATCTAAATAGGTTAAAGACGATACATTTCTAAATGTTTGAATAATCAGGGCCGTAGCAACTGGGGGTGGGGGGCTGTAGCCCACCCCCCTCCCCCCCAATAATTTGCTAATAATCATTCTTTTCTGGTTTAAATAATATACCTTTAAAATACTGACAATTGATTAATTTTAAGCAGCTACATTATCCATGACAAACTGCAAAAAATGAAGATATTACCCATACTTTCCTGCAACTTATCCAATATGTAGTTAATTAAATACGCCTTCGCCCATTTCGTACTACCAAATTGTAAGCAAATTGTAAATTTCGACATACAAAAACGCTAAATTGTAAATTTCGGCATACTAAAACCCTGTTTTCTGACCAACAGAATTTTGTCAAATCTTCCCCCAAAGTCCAGGAAATGGCATTTCAGAGAATCTAAATTTAAAAATTTCTTCGGCCCTCGCTTTCAGCCCCCCTCCCCCCAATCAAGAAGAGCTTCCTACGGCCCTGATAATGCAAATCATTAAAAATGTGCATAATATGACCTGTTGCTATCATGGCTGACTTCGCCAGTGGCTAGAGTAGTGTGATGTATACTCGCAATAGTTGCCATATTTAATAGATGGAGTATCCCTCAGTTGAATTTAACTTTCTTTACTTTTTTAAGATGGAGATCCTAATGGACACTTCGCTATTGGTTCATTATCTGGAATTATATCTACTACACAAAGTTTGGTGAGTTTACTACCTAAAGTTAGTTTACCTTGTATATTGAGACAAGGTAAACTAACTTATTTATACTTGATAGCTCTATCAGTTCTAAACCGTTCTCTCCAGAGGTCTAGTAAGAATAATCTGTTATTGATCCAGTGTTATTACAGGAGGAAAACCTAAACGAAACTAACTTTATTTATACTGGAAAGTTCTATCAGTTCTAAACTGTTCTCCCTAGAGTTCCAGTAAGGGTCATCTCTTATTGATCCAGTGTTACTACAGAAGGAAAGCGAGAGTCTGACTTTATTCTAAACTTAAATGTTTTTATCTCACTCTAGGATCGAGAAATGATATCATTTTATGACGTCATCGTAACAGCCAGCAACTCTCAGACAACCCCAATACTCTCAACCAACGTCACTGTTCGTATTAACGTCGACGACGAGAACGACAACCCCCCGGAATTTAATGCTAGTTCCTATCAAGGACGGGTGTCTGAGAACGCTACAGTTGGAACGGTTGTTGCTAGAGTATTCGCTAAGGATCGAGATAAGGTACCTGTGTTTTCAGGCTCGGTCTTTTCAGCCTTGGTGTTTTAAGATAAGATAAGATAAGATGGTTTAATGAACTCTTTGCAGTTAGAGACAACTGAATAGACAACTTGCATGTTCGACTAATTTTTTATTTAGGCAAAAAAAAGTAAATTCCCGTAAAGAACTTATTAAAATACGTAAAATTGCAAAATTTGGTTACGAAATGTTGTAAAATACAGAAAATATAGCCTTGCGAAGTTTGCATATTTTCAGTATGTTTGTATTACGTGCGGAAATTGTTACCATTTTTGAGCCGAAAATGGTAACAATTTCCACACGTAATACAAATATACTGAAAATATGTAAACTTCGCAAGGCTATATTTTCTGTATTTTACAACATTTCGCAACCAAATTTTGCAATTTTACTAATTTCATTATTTTCTTTTTAACTGTTGTGTTTTATTCCCTTCTCTTTACTTAGATTAAAATTTAGTCTAACATGCAAGTTGTCCATTACTGAGTTATTTATATAGTATTATAATAAATTTACATTAAAGTTGATAACTATAAAAATATTTAAAGGTAAAAAGGTTTTCGATTCTTTTAGTTTTACAAAACTTGCAGTTACAAACAGCTAAATTACTGAGTTATTTACATAGGCCTATTATGGTAAATCTACGTTAAGGTTTATAACTAGAAATATTTAAAGGTAAAAAAGTCTTCAGTTCTTTTAGTTTTACAAAACTTCTTGTCTCTATATAAAACAACGTCCCGCATTTCGTCTTAAAAAATGTTCGTGATCAGACTCGGCGCCTTCAGGCTTGATGTTTTCGGGTTGTATGATGGTAGCCTGAGTCGCCCTAGTAAAAGTTCCATCCGGTCAACTGCAAGTAATGTTTTCTCACTTATATTTTCAGGACGAAGCTGCAGTTATAAGATATAGCATTGTGAGCGGTGAACATTCCGGTAGAGTTGAAATTGATAGCCGTACGGGGATCTTGACCCTCAGCCAATCATTGCTCGAGAATGAATACCGGAATTTGGCCCTTATGGTGAACGCCACTGATAACGGAGATCCTCCAATGTCCTCTGTTGTCCCTGTTGTGATCTTAGTTGATGACATCAATGATAATCCGCCGAGATTTGACAAAAGACAGTACAGGTAAAATATGGTAATAGTGTATAGTAACACTGGATCAATAAGAGTTGATTCTTACTGTATGAACCTCTAGGAAGAACAGTTTAGAACTGATAGAGCTACCAGTATAAATAAAGTTAGTTTAGTTTTAGGTTTCCTCCTGTAGTAACACTGGATCAATAAGAGATGATTCTTACTGGACCTCGAGGAAGAACAGTTTAGAACTGATAGAGCTATCCAGTACCAATAAAGTTAGTTTAGGTTTCCTCCTGTAGTAACACTGGATCAATAAGAGAAGATCCTTACTGGACCTCTAGGAAGAACAGTTTAGAACTGATAGAGCTATCCAGTATAAGTAAAGTTAGTTTAGTTAGGTTTCCTCCTGTAGTTACACTGGATCAATAAGAGATGATCCTTACTGGACCTCTAGGAATAACAGTTTAGAACTAACGTTAACAGAGCTATTTGGTATAAATAAAGTCGAGAATAAAGTCCTTACGTGTTATAAACTTTTCCGCAGTGCAAGTGTTGGTGAGATGGCTAAAGTTGGGGATTCAGTTGTTCAAATGATTGCAGTGGATGCAGACTCGGAGAGTAGTGGAGCAACTACTTATGAACTTGTATCTGGTCACGGATTAAGTAAGTACCATTGCATTGGTGGTTTTCATGGCAGCAGATGGTGGTCAATATCAGAAATATTGGCACACTGATAGGACAAGGAAAATTAAACTGCATCCCTCATTTGCATTTATTTTCTTTTAAATACAGAACTACTACAAATAATAGAGAATTTAAATTTGACATCCACTACCACTACATCTCACTAGTTTATTAAAGTTTTGATTGGTTAATCGTGTAGATTAAACGCATGTGATTTGTTATTTTCTCACTCTATAGCCTATCGAAGGGAAGATGGCTGTGAAACTTATTAGAATAACAATACAACTCATTATCTATGTTAGTCAACGTTTATTCATCAATCTGGTCGTTTCACCGTCACGTGTGTATTGTATTCAGTTTTCCAAATCCACCAATAGCAATTTCCAGTTTCCCTATTGTTCGAGTCACGGATAGGCGACTTTCTTAAAACATTGCTATTGGTTAGTTGCGCAAGAATACAATACACACGTGACGGTGAAGGACCAGATTTATGAATAAACGTTGACCAACATAGATAATGAGTTATATTGTTATTCTGATGAGTTTCACAGCCATCTTCCCTTCGAAAAGCTATCCTGACTCTAATAGCTGTTGTTCTCCTACAATTACAGATGACTTCAGGATTGCATCCGATACTGGATGGATCAGTGTAAACAAATCTCTGGATCGAGAAACTGTGGCTGAATATCGTCTCAATGTTCGGGCGTCTAACCTTGTTCAACACAAACGGCGAAAACGGCGTCGTCGCCGCGAGGGTAGGTCTGAGTCGTTGCTAAGATGAAATTCAACATTTATATTCTATTTAAAACACGAGCAAAAGTGCTTTACAACAGCCGAGTGTTTTATATCTTATAAAGCAGGGACTGCGAGTGTTTGAAATGGCTTAAAAAACGACCCATCTGAGGAGTTTATTGGCGAAGTAATTTTAAAAATCAATGTTGTCAAAGCCGAGAAAATCAAAGCTAAAGTTTATGTAAATTAACGTGATTTTTTATCACATTTAAAAGCGCCGACACGGTGGTGATTGCCTTTGTCTTTTCCTCATAACAATAACCAACTATTTTCACTTTCATTTCAGCGATATTTTCTGACACAGTTGAATTGGTCATCAACATCGATGACGCTAACGACAATATTCCTATTTTTTCACCACTTTCCTATGTTGGAGGTAGGTAAACCTTTGTCAATCATAAATAATCTCTCAGCAGAAATTGGTTTAACCGTAAGCTTTTCTAGCGGCTGTTGGCCATTTGCATTATAGAGTAAATTTTGATCTAAACAAGTCTAGACATAAATTTCATCACAGCTTGAAAGAGCATCACAAAATTAGTAATATTCCAAAGTTTCGTTGCGAAATGTTGTAAAATGCGGATAATATAGCCTTGCGAAGTTTGCCGTTTTTCAGTCATTTTCTATTACAAACGGGAAATTGACAGCCCCAAAGGGTATTGGGTTGTCAATTTCCCCCGCGTAATGCAAAATGACTGAAAAAAGGCAAACTTCGCAAGGCTATATTATCCACATTTTACAACATTTCGCAACGAAACTTTGGAATATTACTAATTTTGTGATGATCTTTAAAGCTGTGATGAAACTTTTGTCTAGACTTGTTTAGGTCAAAATTTAGTCTATAATGCAAATGCCATACTTTATATCATTTTGTGTAGGAGTGATACCAGGAGCAGATGTTGGAACATTAATTGTCAGTGTGATTGTAAGTCCACTTCTTCACTTTGTACTGGATAGCTATTTCAACTGTTCTCCCTAGGCTTAAATATCCAGTGTTACTGCAGGAGGAAACCTGAGTACCCAGAGAAAAGCTGCTTTGTTTGGTAGAGTCAAACTGGAAGCACTCTTCTCACATGTGACTGAAGTGAAATTATAATCAGACAACAGATATCGCAGGAATTAAACCTCAGTCACAAGTCACAGAGAAGAAAGACGCTTGTGACGACCACTGTATCACTCGTTAAAACTGTTCACTATTACCATCGATTCTCATGAATCAATAATGAATCTTTACAATTCCTTGTTGTACAGGCGACGGATGCAGACGATGGTATAAACAGTCAACTTGCCTATAATATTACTGGCGATAAGAAAAATCGGTTCCACGTGAATGCTATTGGAGGTGTGGTCTCAACAGACGTTGCAGTGGGTAGTGCAGGAACTATGTATAATCTGAATATCACTGCCACAGATAACATCGGCCTGGGTTCGACCTCACCCCAGCCGGCAAGTGTCAAGGTAATGGTCAGAAAATGTGAATCGTCATGATTTGGATATGACGTAGCTATCTCTACGAGAGTATCATTGAAACGTTGGATCGTGACTGTAATTTGTTCAGGGATTACATTCATTTACTTAAACCAGAGTAAAGAAACATGTCTGATATTATACCTGTTTGCATGAAGACACTAGACTGGAGTGTTGAAACGTTGGACCGTGAATGTAATTTGTTCAGGGATTACATTCATTTACTTAAACCAGAGTAGCGAAACAGGCCTGATATTGTACCTGGTTGCATGAAGACACTAGACTGGAGTGTTGAAACGTTGATTCGTGACTGTAATTTAATTGTTCATGGATTACATGAATTTACTTAATTTAATGACACTACATTGAAGAGTTGAAACGTCCATGGGTCGTGAATGTAAATTCATTTACTTAAACCATGCAGAATATCTAAATATATCTCATATTATACCTGGCGATTCTCTCTCTTCTCTAGATTTACGTTCTTTCTCGTGATGAACAAGCTATCTTATTGGCTCTTGTCCACCCTGATATGATCAAAAATAATACCAAAGAATTTATAGAGTAAGTACATGAATAGCGGGGAAAATGAAACCGGAAAGAAAGCTTAGAATTCCCCCAGATGATGGACTAATTTAATTTCTCTTTTTTTTTCAGTATGCTGAACAATATCACAGGAGGTCAGGCGTATATCGATAAAATAAACAAGGTTTCTGAACGAAATGGTAGTGGTGTTATCGTAGTGGGATCTGAAGTCATATTTCATGTTGTGAGAAATTACACCATCCTGACCAGCGATGAAATAATAAGGTTACTGTTTCATATAGTTGTTGACAAAGCTATCAAAATAAAGTTAGTTTAGTTACACTGGATCTATCAGAGATGATCCTTACTGGACCCCTAGGAAGAACAGTTTAACAGTAGAGCTATCCAGTATAAATAAAGTTACTTTAGTTCAGGTTTCCTTCTGTAGTAACACTGAATCAATAAGAGATGATCCTTACTGGACCTCTAGGGAGAACAGTTTAGAACTGATAGAGCTATCCAGTATAAATAAAGTTAGTTTAGTTTAGGTTTTCTCCTGTAGTAACACTGGATCAATAAGGAATGTCCTTACTGGACCTCTAGGGAGAACAGTTCAGAACTGATAGAGTTATCCAGTATAAATAAAATTAGTTTAGTTTAGGTTTCCTCCTGTAGTAACACTGGATCGATAAGAGATGATCCTTACTGGACCTCTAGGAAGAACAGTTTAGAACTGATAGAGCTATCCAGTATAAACAAAGTTGAATTGATCTGCTCATTACTCAATCTTTAATCACTAGCACTGTAGAACTCCATCGTCATTTGCTGGACACACTCTACGCGAAATGGCACGTTCAGAAAGTCAGCAAGATACGGCACGCTCGTGGCGATGACGATGATGATCTTAAAGACTGGGAAATAGTGTTGATCGTTCTCGGAGTGCTACTGGCACTCACTCTCCTCTTCTGTTGTTGCTACTGTCTCTGTTGTGGGTACAAGATTTTAAAATTTTGATTTATTTGAATTAAGAAGACATTGTTTGATCTTCAACCGATCAAAGTGGGGTTTGGGTGGTACAGGTGTCAGAGCTGGTGCCTTTAATCTCTGAAATCATGAGTTCGACTCTCTTTCCGGACTCAAGACATTGTGAAAAGAGTCAGTCAACGCTCTGCCGAAAGTCGTGGGTTTTCTCCGGGAACTCCGGTTTCCTCTCACAGAGAATGCGCACAGGATGGGTTTAAGTCATGATCAAATCAATACTTTTTTAATCGATGAACTTCATAATTTTTAGTCTATTGTTTTGTTGAATATTGAGTGAATCATTCTTTTATTTATAAAATAAATGGATTAGTTAGGCAACTGATTTGTTGATGTATTGATTGCGCTATCGGTCGCCCATCGATCCACCAGGAGATCGATGTATTGATCGACTATTGATTTATTGATCATCTTTCTCCTAGATGGAAACGTCAGTTCAGCGACGATGCAGGAGAGAGTCAGAGGAGAACATTCTTCACCAATTCCCCAGTGTACGTCTTAAAAATGTAATTCAATAATTATCATTTTATCTGCAGGAAAAAGTCTTACAGATCTAGCCTGCTCTCAGGCTCTCAAGGTGGAGCCTGAGAGCCTGCTCGCAGGCTATTACAGATCCATTCCTTCCGGTTCAAACGACTACAGTACTGCAAACTTCACAAATGTCGACACTTATAGGATCAAGAGCATCATACAACCAAACATCTCTCGTTTCTGTTTATTCTCTTCCAAATTAATTAAATTAATTAATGTAATAATGTTCGACAACTACTAAATTATTATAAAAATGTAGTGCCAGGATACTCGCCACACTCTCCCCAATACACCTTTCCCCTTTTGAGTGAAATTTTTTTCAAGACAGGTCTAGACAAAAATTTCATCACAGCTTGAAAGAGCATCACAAAATTAGTAATATTCCGAAGTTTCGTTGCGAAATGTTGTAAAATGCGGATAATATAGCCCTGCGAAGTTTGCCGTTTTTCAGTCATTTTGTATTACAAACGGGAAATTGATAATCAGACGATCAAACTGTGACGAAATTTTTATCCAGGCATATCTAGATCAAAATTTCATTCATAAGGGGAAAGGTCTATTACGGCAAGTCCTTAATAATTACATCTAAATCACGTTAGTATTAGACAAGACTGTTACATATAATGGAAAGAATGAACATTATTTTCTCATTCTGATAACTACAGCCTGGTGAAACCCTGACATTACCTTATTGATTTTTAGGACTCGTCAAAATGTAGACTCGACTTCAAGTGATTCAATCCAATTCTACAGTTCCCATCCCAATAATGATCCTTTTAAACCGCCAGGGTAAGCAATTTTATAAAAAATGTTTTTTGTCTGTAGGGTGTAGGTGGTGAGTCCAGGTTCGATTCTTCATGTGAGAAGAGTGCTCCCAGTTTGACTCTACCAAACACAGCAGGTTCTCTCCGGGAACTCCGGTTTCCTCCTGTAGTAACACTGGAACAATGCGAGATTGTCCTTACTGGACCTCCAGAGAGAACAGTTTAGAACTGATAGAGTTATCCAGTTTAGTTTAGGTTTCCTCTTGTAGTAACACTGGAACAATAAGAGATGATCCTTACTGGACCTCTAGGAAGAACAGTTTAGAACTGATAGAGTTATCCAGTTTAGTTTAGGTTTCCTCTTGTAGTAACACTGGAACAATAAGAGATGATCCTTACTGGACCTCTAGGAAGAACAGTTTAGAACTGATAGAGTTATCCAGTTTAGTTTAGGTTTCCTCTTGTAGTAACACTGGATCAATAAGAGATGATCCTTACTGGACCTCTAGGAAGAACAGTTTAGAACTGATAGAGTTATCCAGTTTAGTTTAGGTTTCTTCTTGTAGTAACACTGGATCAATAAGAGATGATCCTTACTGGACCTCTAGAGAGAACAGTTTAGAACTGATAGAGTTATCCAGTTTAGTTTAGGTTTCCTCCTGTAGTAACACTGGAACAATGCGAGATTGTCCTTACTGGACCTCCAGAGAGAACAGTTTAGAACTGATAGAGTTATCCAGTTTAGTTTAGGTTTCCTCCTGTAGTAACACTGGATCAATGCGAGATTGTCCTTACTGGACCTCCAGAGAGAACAGTTTAGAACTGATAGAGTTATCCAGTTTAGTTTAGGTTTCCTCCTGTAGTAACACTGGAACAATGCGAGATTGTCCTTACTGGACCTCCAGAGAGAACAGTTTAGAACTGATAGAGTTATCCAGTATGAATAAAGTTAGTTTAGTTTAGGTTTCCTCCTGTAGTAACACTGGATCAATGCGAGATTGTCCTTACTGGACCTCCAGAGAGAACAGTTTAGAACTGATAGAGTTATCCAGTTTAGTTTAGGTTTCCTCCTGTAGTAAAACTGGATCAATAAGAGATGAACCTTACTGATCCTCTAGGGAGAAAAGTTTAGAACTGATGGATCTATCCAGTATAAAAAAAGTTAGTTTAGTTTAGGTTTTTTCCTGTAGTAACACTGGATCAATAAGAGATGATCCTTACTGATCCTCTAGGGGGGAAAGTTTAGAACTGATGGATCTATCCAGTATAAAAAAAGTTAGTTTAGTGTAGGTATTTTCCTGTAGTAACACTGGATCAATAAGAGATGAACCTTACTGATCCTCTAGGGAGAAAAGTTTAGAACTGATGGATCTATCCAGTATAAAAAAAGTTAGTTTAGTTTAGGTTTCCTCCTGCATGTAGTAAAACTGGATCAATAAGAGATGAACCTTACTGATCCTCTAGGGAGAAAAGTTTAGAACTGATGGATCTATCCAGTATAAAAAAAGTTAGTTTAGTTTAGGTTTTTTCCTGTAGTAACACTGGATCAATAAGAGATGATCCTTACTGATCCTCTAGGGGGGAAAGTTTAGAACTGATGGATCTATCCAGTATAAAAAAAGTTAGTTTAGTGTAGGTTTTTTCCTGTAGTAACACTGGATCAATAAGAGAAGATTCTTACTGGACCTTTGGGGAGAACAGTTTAAAACTGATAGAGCTATCCAGTATAAATAAAGTTAGGTAAGTTTAGGTTTCCTCCTGTAGTAACACTGGATCAACAACAGATGATCCTTACTGAACCTCTAGTGAGAACAGTTTAGAACTGATAGAGCTACCCAGTATAAATAAAATTAGTTTAGTTTAGGTTTCCTCCTGTAGTAACATTGGATCAATAAGAGATGATTCTTACTGGACCTCTAGGAAGAACAGTTTAGAACTGATAGAGCTATCCAGTATAAATAAAATTGGTTTAGTAACACCTCGTGTAGTAACACTGGATCAACAAGGGATGATCTTTAGTGTACCTCTAGGGAGAACAGTTTAGGATTGAAAGAGCTATCCAGGAAAATCAATTGTCGCCTAATTCATTTTTATCCTGGTGCGTTTCAGGACAATCACGAATCCTGTGTATAATGCTGAATTCGACTTAGAATGTTACGAAGAAAAGGTGAAATTTTACGAATTATTTTGAGGTCTATGCTTGATACCTTTGTTCCATTTTAAACTTAAGCCTGGTTGACACTATCAAAGTTTCTGTGATCACAGTAGGAATTTTGCATGGGTAAATTTTAAGTTTCGAAAGATTTGTAAGAAATGTTTGAGGGCTAACGCCCGTATTCTAAAAGCTCACTCACACTCAATGAGTGGAGGTTCAATCTGAGGTTCTCTCGAGTGTCATTGCTGTTTTTGAATAGCTGGATGGTTAGTGTCGCACCTTACTATGTCACTACTCATCCTCCAGCTATTCAAAAACAGCATTGACACTCAAGAAAAGCTCAGATTGAACCTCCACTCATTGAGTGTGAG